TATTTTGTTTTTTGATGATTAATTGTCAAGGAACATATACAAGTGAATTAAACATATTCAAATTTTCTAAAGCATATACAAGTGGATTCCCATGGACAAACCATTTGTACATGGTTGTTATTGGTCACAGTCGTTATTGGTTATGGTCGTTACTGGTCGTGGTCATGATTTGTCCACAAAAAAAAATGTCCACTTAGACATGACCATCTGAACGCGGTCAACCCATTTGACAGCTCTAGCTCCAACAAAACCCCTAAAGAAGAACTATGAGAAAGACTCAAAACTCTGAACAAAACAGTTTCTCTCAAAATATTGTGAGCACAATTAGGTCTTGGGCTTGTAATTGGAAGGTCCATGAGAAATATTAGATCTTGGGCTTTTTTTATTATAAATTACCTTTATAATCTTTGATTTATATATTGCTAAAAAAAAAAAAAACACCCGACTTGGGGTATAAGTCAGTTCGTCTTTTTTTTTTTGTCTCACACATCACCGTAATCTGGAATTTTTAGTCTCAAATCAGCGATACTTTTCGTTTCACAGAAGTTTCGAATTCGACAACGATGGATCTCAATCTCGATGCTCCTCACTCCATGGGAACGACCATCATCGGCGTCACTTACAATGGAGGTGTCATTCTCGGAGCCGACTCACGTACCAGTACCGGTGAGTTTTCCCTTCTCTACTCTTCTAGGGTTTTTTTTTCCGCTGGGTTTTGTTTCAATCGGAACGGATAATAAGCGTAATCGATTGTTCTATTTGGGAAATTTTGTGAGAAAGCTGATGAAATTTGGGGATCTGTGATTCACTCGTGACAGGGATGTACGTAGCGAACCGAGCTTCTGATAAGATCACACAACTCACTGATAATGTCTACGTCTGCCGTTCTGGATCGGTAATCTCTCGTTTTTCTTGGGATGTCTATTTAGGGATTTCATTTGACCAATTGTGTGAAAGCAGTTTTGCTCGATAGACTTCTTACTCAGATTTGGCACTTCTTGAAACTCGTTTCCTTGCTAGGTTTCTTACTCTGATGTTTATTGTAGCAGATGCATTTTACTGATTACCATAAGCTCTTCTTGTTCCTTTTACAGGCTGCTGATTCTCAGGTTGTCTCGGACTATGTTCGCTACTTCCTTCACCAGCATACGTGAGTGTTTCATTCTAACCTTGATTCGACCAAACTACGCGACATGATTGATATTCTGAAGATAAAATAATTCGTTTGCGTATGGTTTGCAGAATTCAGCTGGGGCAGCCTGCAACCGTAAAGGTCTCTGCCAATCTTATCAGGATGCTTGCGTATAATAACAAGGTACACGCTTGCAGTTTGTTTAGCTGTTTTAGCAGCAACTTAAAAACTCAAGAGTAGTAGGATGGATGTTGTTCTATTTACTACAAGGGTTCTTTCTTGTTAAGAAAAATTGCTCTACAGAATCACTGATAACTTTTGTTTAGAAGTGTGACCTTGCTAAAAACGACAACTTGCTTACATTTCTTTGCTCTATGACTTCAGCTTCAAAATTTGGTGCCTTAGAGATTGATGTTACATGTCAAACCTAGCTTGATAGTATATATTAATCTCTTGTTGTTCTTAGTGTTATTGTAATGGTTATCCTCTAGTCTGAAGAATGGAAAAGTCTAATGGAAATGTAGAAGGTTTCTGTTCTAATGCTACTGTATGCAGTGCTCAAGATGTATATATTCTATTGGATATATATGCAACAATCTCAGTTTTCTGTAATCTGAATCATAGTGTATCTATGTTGGTTAACAAAGATGCATATCCAGTGTACGGTTATTTCCTTGTTTTGATGAGATGGATTGTTGCCTGAAGCATTGTATTTCTTTGTTGGGCAGAATATGCTGCAAACTGGCCTCATTGTTGGTGGCTGGGATAAGTATGAAGGTGGGAAGATCTACGGGATTCCACTTGGTGGAACTGTCGTGGAGCAACCATTTGCTATTGGAGGTAAAAACGAAATTTTTCTGTCTTATGATTTTTGGGTTTTAACATAGCTGTATCCAGTTAAGTTTTCTTTGCTATTTACATGTATGATACTAAGCTTTCCTGCAAATAACTAGTGGAATTGTGTGTGTTTGTGTAGGCTCTGGCTCTAGTTACCTTTATGGATTCTTTGATCAGGCCTGGAAAGAAAACATGACCAAAGAAGAAGCCGAGGTAAGGCAGTTCAGATCATTACATCTTTGGCATATGCAAACATCTCACAAACCCCTTTGTTGTAACTGGTCCTTGCTATTGTATTTACACTGTGTGTTTTGCAGCAACTTGTTGTGAAGGCAGTTTCACTTGCCATCGCCCGAGATGGAGCCAGTGGAGGGGTTGTACGAACTGTCATAGTAAGATATTTCTCTCTGGCCAAAACTCTTTTAAGCGAGACATATAACCTCTGTAACGGAACACATAGTTAACAAACTGCTTTTGATGATGATTTTGAACAGATCAACTCAGAGGGAGTGACGAGAAACTTCTACCCTGGAGATAAGTTGCAGCTTTGGCACGAGGAGTTGGAGCCCCAAAACTCCTTGTTAGACATCCTGAACGCTGCTGGTCCTGAACCAATGGCCATGTGATCATTATCTTACTTTGTTGTGACAAACGTTTTAGATATTTGATTACATTTTCCATGACTCCATAAACTCTGTTTAAGTCCTTATTTGGATTGACCTGATGTGTCTCTTTCAAAATGGGTATCGTGTTTGTTATCCCTTCCCTTATGGTCTGATCTTGAATGGAATTTAGTAGAAACTTGGCCACATCTTTACTGTGACCTTACCAGGTTCTCGAATTCTCGATCACAAAACAAAATGAGAAAACTTTTAGTGAACTACATTAATCAAAATAATAATCACTACATGTAACATGCTAGACACGTGGCCGGACAACGGACACTACAACAGTTGTAGTTGTAGTACAACTTGTACATGGTAGACTCATTTCCTGCGTCAGAGCGGAGTGAACGAAGAGGATGTCAGGGAAAGGTGGTCATGATCTCTTTGTCTATGGCAGTCTCCAGGAGCCCCAAGTCCTTTACGTGCTTCTTAATCGTGTCCCTGACCATGTCTCCGCTGTACTCTCCGGCTTGTGCGTCCCTATCTCTCTCACTCACTCGCTCAATCTGTCTTGATTTCATTCGATTCTGGATCCAGTTGAGGTTGATTAACGACAATTCCTGGATTTTTCAGTCACAGGTTTAGACTCAAAGGCCGTGTTTATCCAACGATTCTACCGGACGGAACCAGAGAAGTCACCGGAAAGGTTCATCAGTTATCCCTGATTCCCTTTTTCACACTCGTCTCTCTTTGTATGTAGAATGATGGAAGAACTAGGAAAAGAGTTTAAAATCCATAGATAAACGTTAAGGCCATTGTTCTTTGTGGAGGGTTTTGTGCTGTGTTATTATTGTGTTGGACTAGAGATGATTTTGTTTCACTCCTTTTTTGTTATGTATAGTCTTGGCTTTTGAGGTGTCTCAGAAACATATTTGAGGAATTTCGAAGAAATTTGTTGTGATTGCAGGTGCTAAAGGGAATAACAGATGATGAACTGAAGTTGTTAGATGAGTTTGAGGATGTTGAATATGATAGAAACACTGTTGAAGTGGTGCTGAAGGTCATTACTTTTTGATCGGAACAACGAATTCGGTATTTACATTTCGGATTGGGTTTTGTTATATTAGATTCTGATATAAACCTCTTGGTGCATCTGTAGGATAATTCAGAGAAGCTGCAAGTCGACACATATGTTTGGAGGAACAAAGATGATCCGGATCTTTATGGAGAATGGGATTTTGAGGTTACAAATCTTACATCTTTTCTTATACATATTTCAGCTGTTGAATGTGAAGATGCTTTAATCTTAATTAAAATGTTCAACTGTGTTTAGGAATGGAAACTACATGACAAGGAAGATTTCGTAACCGCGACCAAGAAATTTGTGGAAGGGAAGAGATTACCAGAAGCAAAGACGAGGATCGACACATTCAAAACATTCTTTAAGCAAGATATTGAGAATGGGAAGACTCTGGATTCTTGATGCTCTCTCTGGTCTTAGCTGTGACTTTTGGTTTTTGACAGTTACACTATAGCTAGTGAGGCCATTGCTTCACTTGAAATAAGACTTGTGGAACAATGCTTCTTGGGAAAAGACACAGAAACACCAATGTTCATGAGTCTTGTTAAACTACTAGAGAGACATGAATGGACTATTGTTGTTGCTCAAAACGTTTTCTCTGCATTATGTTATCGATTCGTAGGTTTGATCCAGTTAGGTTTATAAGTGATTATGGGACCAGAATACTCAATATTCAACCCAATCTAGGCCTATTTGTGACCGCATTGTGTTCACCATCACCTCCAATGAACTCGGATTGGGAAGAAAAAATGTAAATGCTGACTAGCAAGTAGCAACCAACATTGAATTCTGGTTATTTACGGTTATGTTACCCGACGTTGTGGTTCTTGACGTCGATACGGGTGATACTATTTTCGACTGTCAGACTAATGAAGTTTCAGACACTAAGATCTGAATTGGAATGTCTGAATTTGTAGATATCCTTTGGATTTCTGAGCTCTATCCATTGCTTCTTGTCTCTGTACTGATGTATGAGCTCATGTGCTTAGAGAACAAACAAAACCTTTCTTTTGTTGTCTAATTGTCTTTTAGCTCATGACTTTTGAAGACTAATCTTTTCAAAGCAGTAAACTATATGAGTAATGTACGTACAGTCCCAACTGTATTCAGGTTTCCGAGGCGTATGGTTGGTTCATGTTAAATCTCTTGCTGGATCTTGCTGTGTCTTATATGGAACCTGCCATTAATTCTACTACTTGCTCATATAATCACACTACTATGTCAGTATCCTCGAGATCAGGTACATGTAATCATTAACACATGTATTATTTGAGTGATTGCTTTAGATAGTGTTAAGAGTCTCAGGTTGCAAAATGCCATGTGACCTTTCCGTTTTATCAGATCTTGGATGCTTAAAGCTTTGACTTTGACCATAGATTAGAGAGAGAACATATCATTACATGAATAACTAATCTCTCTCTCTCACACACACACAATCTCTTGAATCTTGATTGATTTGGGAGGATACCAAGATCATTCCTTTTTGATTTTGCCGTACTCTGGTTGGGATTAATCGTTAATCGCATGTGAGTTTCAATAATGAAGGGTACTTAGTTTAGAGAAAATGTGATTATGTTATTATAATCACTAATTAAGATACTTATTATAGCATTAGTTTTGGTTGTAAAAGCATAGGATGCTGTACTTTTGTTAATCTTAAATTGTTTTAACAACAATAGTCTCCACTTGATGATTAAAAAGTACATTGCCGTAGGTACTCATCTTTTCTCACATAATTTAATTTGATGTTAGTTACTCTATTAGTTTATCATTTAAGTCTCTGATTACTTGGCATAACTGCAACATCAATGCACATGGGTAGCTCCCGGAAAAAACGTTGGATGCATTGATAGAAACATGAACTTTTTTGCTTTTTTTTTGTAACAAGGTTTCATAAGCCTAACCATGGGACCAACTGCCACATGAATAGCACAGTGGTCAAGTGTAAGTTAAGCGGGTTTCGAACTTTAGGAAAGCTCGAGTTTACGGTCTAGCCACTAGCATACTCACCATTGTGTCACCAAGACTTGGTTCATTCTTGTTGAGATGGCATTTTTGGCTGATGTGTGTTTGAATTCTACTTAGAGTTAAAGGACTAATGCAGATCTTGAAAAAAAAAAGAAACTAAATCATGTAAATTGTTTTGTTTAGATGTTTGTGATTAATCGTTCTTAAACTATTCATGTGACAGATTCTTCTCCATGTTCATTCGTACGGTGTTATCCGCTTAGATGAAGGATTAAGTTTTATGATGTTACAAAATAACAGAGATTTGGAAATGGGAGAGATAATGTTGAAGAGGGGAGATTGTATTGTGAATTTGCTTTCTCACATTTATATGTTTCAACTTTGAACCAAAGAGGAATAAATCATTTACATGGGATCGAACAAGAAGTGTAAATGTTTCTTGATTCATTTTAGGAAAAAGAAGAAAGAGAGCTTGTTCATATTTTTTCAATGATCCGTTTGTACATTCCATTATTCAAAAATCTCTCGTCTCTCATTCCTTTTCTCCTTAAAGTTGTAGAGTACACAAGTCCAAGTCCCCAAGGGAAAAAGTGGGAACATAGGGATGATGAATGGCT